TTCTAAATGAAGTTACCATCTGAACCAACTGTGCTGAGCCACCAAACACCAAATTACAAGAGAAAAAAGTACAAATACGGAAGAAACTTCTTAATCGGGATATTCTTTGACAGCTTTTGTTTCCAAAAGAACAAATTCTGATTTAATTAAAAGACATCTCTCTCTTCAGGCTGTTGCAGTTCCATCACCCTATTAGACAAGCCCAAAGGGTTGGGAGAGGGCACTACTATTTGGTTTGCAACTGAGGTTATTGTCTGAGTGAATACAGCAGGGGCAGCTGCAATATGCTCAGCCTATACAGCTGGTGTGAAAAGAACAAAATACTAGCCAAGAACAAGCAGGACAGCATATCATATGTTTTCAGCATGTACCACGGTGTGGAGGGAACGAAAACTCTGGCAGAAGCAGCAGGAGATGAAGCCACAGAAAAATTAAGCATCACCCCCAGATCCCCTCAGAGATGCACCAGTTAAGTTGATTTCCTGGTTAAGTCTGCTGTAATTGAGAGGAGGGTACTATAATAATGCTTAAAAGCTAAGCCTAACTATCGGGGAAATCAAATCTCATTTACCTCTTTGGTTAGATAATTTTCTGACATTCAAATACCTTAGTCAACTGATACTCCAAATATAAACAGGTTTATATCAAGGATGACCTTATAATGTCTTCAAATCAGAATAGCAGGACTGTCTTTACCACATTTGACAACCCTGGGCCTCACATATACAGGCCTCAAGAATATGAAAATCATATTCTTATGCATCACCTTATTACAGAGATTTGCAATATGCAGTAACTACGGATACAATTTTCAAAATGGCCTAAGTGATTTAAGAGCCTAGGTACCATTGAAAGTCAATATGATGTAGGTGCCAAAGTGTCACTCATTTTTGAAAATGGAACTTGGGTGCTTTTGAAAATTTTACCATAGAGCTAGACGTAAACACCAATATTATCAAAGAATTTTGGATTTTTGAACACTACAATCCTGCATAGTACCACCGCATCAAAAAAGTACTGGGGGCTCATTTTTAGATGTCAGTATCATATGGATATTGGCGGAAGCTTAACTTGAAGATCTCAACTTGAAGGGTTGCTAACATTTGAAAATTCTATTTCACAGGCACAATTGGGAAACTTTTTGTGACAATCAGAATGAGCTTCTCAGACTGAAAAATGAAATAGTGCACAGAGAAGACTTGTCTTGATGACTTTCTCCACAGTTAAATCTAAATGAGATGAAGAAATCTCTTCTACAGTTAAAATAAAGTCATTTCAGTCACAGATGCCATATGATTTATTCCCTTGTAGACTAACCTGTTGTAAAGGTTAGCATGGATCTCCTCCAAAATGTGTCTGAGTTTATCCTCTGCCTCATGTTCAGCGAAGGTCATCTTCTGTCCTGTGTCTCTTCTGACAGCTACAAACTGGCCGTTCTTCATATCTCGTGGTCCCACTTCAAGCCTGATGGGAACACCCTACAAGCAAAAATAATGCAATACAAAATTAGTGAAAACTGCAGAACCAGTCACTCTCAAAAGACTATAGTTCATCCACTAAGATGCTTTTTTCTGTATGGATTCACTTGACATGATTTTTATTTCTCTTTGTCTTGCTCTCAGACAATCATACGATTATCAAGAGAACTGTTTTGGTGTCTTAATACTTGAAAAATTCAGGATTGGGGCAAACCTAAAGCTGTATTGATTCTGTTTCGCCTTACCATAATACTACTGCAAGGTTTTTATGAACTCGAATTGCGCTCATTTTATACTCCTCCGATAAGTGTTTGAAACAGGAAATAGAAATAGCCTTCTTTCATTTGGATGATTCCTTCCCAGATGACGCTATACATGTGAATAAAAGATGGCTACCTATGGAGAGTTCCATGGAAAAGCTCTCAATCTTTTGCATGTCTCCTGGACTTAAGGGATTTATTTTTACTTATGTGTTTAAGCACACTGTTCTTCTATGGACTGTTGAAATGGAAGTTACAAAGGACCTATAATAAATCAAGGGTCAAATTAAGAGTCCTTTTCCTAAACAAAAAATAAAAACAAAACAAAACAAAATGTTTTCAGTATGCTAAAATACATACAATATCCCTCCCAGCTAAGATCCCAAAACAATCTATTTAGATTTACATTTTCAGCAGCCAGTTGAGAGGGAATATTTTTGTGGATGTGGCTATTTACTTAGCTAGCACAGGTGTTAGGCCTTTCCCTTTCTGAAAGAAATATAGATTCTCCCACAGCAAACAGAATTTTATTGTGTTCAAACAATGTTGTCACGATCAATAATGCAGTGTAATCACCACTTTGTTTTCAATTGCTGGAAGTTTGACCTCCTTGAGGGTAAAAGAAACTGAAAGAAAAGATGAGGATTAGAAAAACCTTTGCAAACCCATGCCCAGACTGGGTGACCAGTGATAATGGTAGGAAAGAGAATCTGGAAAAGAACTTTGTATATACTTGTTTATCCAACCTCCTCTTTCACATGCAACCGTCCTTACCAGTGTGCTACACCTGATGATTTTTTTTCAGGTGGTTGTTGATTTAAGTGTTTGTTATGTACACTGGCATGTCAACCATATTTAGACAATTTAGAATAGTGTCTAAAACATGTTTTTAACATAGCTAGAACACAATTGACCTAATTACAGAGGATTGTTGAAATTACAATTAAATATAGCTTTACTAATTTATTCCTAATATAACTCTTCAATAAACTACTTATTCTAATTTTGGCCTGGCACAGCATGTTTAAACTGTATTAGCACAAAGAATTTTTAAAAAGGTTCTTGAAAACAGCTCCATTAAATGTTAATACTGATGGTGGTAGAACACTTGAAGGCCTAAGAAAAGTTAATTTCATTACGTAGTATTTCTGTTGCTTCTTAAACCTTATGACAAAGGGCCTGTGACTTCTCATCTCCTTGTACACACAGGCAGACCCCCAACTGTTTGTTCCCATTTGTGAGTTTTTACGGGTGTACTTGTAACTGCTGGAATTAGGAGTCTAGAGCAATAGTTTATTGCTTCCATCTCTAGCTAGTTGGATGTTTTATTGTAGGCACGTGCCGTACATATGCTTTTATTTAGATGAGGCTGTTCGCAGTTTCTTGTTCCCCGTGGAAATCCAATCAGTAGGCGAAATGCCAAAGAGTCTAGATCCTGACCATTTTAAAAACATTTTGTAAGATACCTTTGTCCAGGCTTCCACTCACTGCAGGCTCTAGATGCTCTTGGTATTTGATCTACAGACTAGGTTTCACTACCTCTACTCCTTAGGGCTAGTAGTTTGATACTGATGGATGACCTATTTTTAAGAGGGAAATGTTTACTTCTATTCCAAGCCAGATGTAAAGGTACTGAAATGCTATCAGCACCTGGCATCATATAAACTTGTAACAATAATACTGTTTTTTCATTTACAAAATGCCATCAATGACATTTGAGATTCCGGAGGCATACCCAGTATCTCCACCTCTTTGTTCTCACTTCCTTCCATATACCTACATTGCTCAGGCATGTGAAAAATCCACACTCCTGAGTGATGTAATTATACCGAACTTAACCCCGCTTGTAGACAGCACTATGTTGGTGGGAAAGCTTCTCCCAATGACACAGCTACCGCCTCTTGTTGAGGTGGAGTTATTAAACCGAAGGGAGAGCTCTCTCCCGTCGCCTTAGAGCATCTTCATCTGACGCACTGCAGCTGCGCCGATGTAAATTTGTAGTGGAGATCTGCCTTAAGACTGATGCACCTCATTAGTAAGAGGCATGGAAATGGTCACATGCAGAGCTTGACTTAATGAAGAGCAGTGCTCAGGAAGTGGACGCTGTAAAGGGATTGAAGAAGCCACCATAGAAGCTACCTGCGACCTTCTCACAGACTGAAGTCTCTTTGCGGGAGTCTCACACACAGCTATTGTCCAAAAACTTTTCAGACTGTAAGGTCTTTAGGGCAGGAACTGTCTTCCAAAGTCTATATGGTGTCGTGCAACAGAGCAGCAAAGACACTTAGCACCTCTGGACACTACGTAAGTATACAATATTAAACAAGTCAGCAAGTTGGCTTCCTCCAGAACCTCAGAAGTCTCACTTGGAATTTAAAACTAGATATAATCCCGCCCCCCTAAAAAAAACATATACACTTCCTTCCCAGTTTGTTCATGGTGAAAAGCACTTCTTACCCTGTGAATTTAGTGGGGCTCAGCAAAATAAGTGCTGTTTTCCTGTAAATCACAGCCTTATCATACCATTTTCATATTGTAATATATTCTGACAAAGCAAAGTTTTCTCTAGGATAGCAAGCTAATGCACTGGGCTGTCTTCTCTGGATACTGAGGTTGAAATTCTATCATACTTTCCAAACGAAAAGGAAGAGAGACTATCACCAAAAAATTTGGTATAAGTAGCAGATCTCTGTTTAAGAGGTGTCAGACTGGAGTTTTGTAGAAGTCAAAAGAGGTCTCTGAACAAAGTTGTGTGTGAAAGCTCACACAGTGCCTGCCCATACCAACCAGGCTCAAGTCAGCAC